AAATTTTGCGCATTGAAGGCTTCTGAAAAAATCCACCTATTGTACTTTCTGTGATCATCAGATTCTTTCTTCGTCATGGTTGTGATTGAGGAAATTAATGGATTTTGTTTTGCTGTTGTTTTTTTTTTCTTCTTCTCTCTTGGGATGCTTTGAAAAAAGACTTGGAAAATCGTGTTCTGATATTGCTATGCGGTTCTTCCCGCAGAGAAAGTGTTATAAATTGGACTTTTCGAACGCATGTTTGTCTCAACTTGTTCTGTTCTAAAATTTTACGCGATTATAAGACGCAATTCTGCCCATGGACTTGAATTGGTTCTGTGTAGAATAAATAACTCTTCTTAATTGGCAGATCATTGAACCAGAAATAAGTGTCCGAACGTATCTGACATTCGTTCCTGCGTCAACGGCTTCGATATTTATTCAATAATTTTTTTGTGAATATTTAAAATTAGATCAAACATATTCCGGATGCATTTTCACGCCTTCGGTTTAATTTGGATTTATTCGGAATCATGTTTTAAACTAATTTTCGGTAGTAAATGGATGGTTTGAGAAGTCGATGAGACGAAAGATCCCTTATACTCTTACTATCCCCTGAAATATAATTTTTTTGTGCTGATACAAACTGTAATCTGATATTTCCGATTCAAAATCGAGGAGTAATTGCGTCTTGTGCTTGCGTAAAAATTATATATCTTCATTCGATTGCTCGTGACTGACGTTTTTGTTTTGGAATTTACAGGCAAGAATGTCCATGTCAAAGAGTAAGAATTTCGTGTTGGAAGTGCAGGAATGGAATAAAGTGTACGATGCGTTGTACAAGTCAAATGACAGGGACTTGAAAGAATGGGCTCTCGGTCGGATCTCTGTTTGGCGCGCCAGGTTTGTGGGAAACACCGAGGAAGTTATTTTTGCAACGAACCAAAGGGTTTGAACATTTTTGCATGGATTTCGATTCCGCAGATTTCCCCGAATACCAACTGGCATGGACGTGACTGAACGCTTGTTTAGGGCTCTCCTGAAGGCAGAGGATTTGAAATTGAGTCGAGTCGGAGGATTTGTGAATGCGACTTCGGCTCAGATTGCTGATGCCCATTCGTGTCTCGGATTTGCAGTCATAAGGTGATCTTCTGTTTTTTTTT